CAGTAATGAAACACGACCCATGCTCTGCACAGATGTGTTTGCTGAGAATTTCTTGAATAATGGCAGCCAGCGTGACTTCGGCGGGCGACGCATTTGCAATGCTGGGAACCTAGAAGGGAATAAGTAAGAATCGGAACATTTGGATAATAACGCATACACGGGTACCATAGGTCATCTCTGCAAGGTCAATTGCTTCAATGGAGAGAGCCTGGATGCATGTGAGCGTTACACAAGATGGGAAGAGTGATCGTACCCGCTTCAGTGTTTTGAAAGGATCCATTGCCGACGTATCAAAGAGAGCATTGATTGTATTGAGGGTTCGGGAACGCTCGACTGCGTGCTGGAGTTGACCGCGAACAGCAAGCCAAGTGTCTTCATCGCGTATTCCAGGAGCGGACTTCTTACCACCACTAAGATGGTGTGAGCAAAAAAAGCTAGCCTGCATTGGAGAGACACGTACTTGGACCCACTCCAGTATACCTTAAACTCGGGACCCGTATCCTGCGCTCGATATATGCCGTTGCGACCGTGAGGCTTCAGTGCGAAGTCGAGAAACTCTTGCCGAGTCATGCCTATGACATTGGCCTTTTCTGTGGTCAGGCAAGCCGTCTCGCGTTGTTTGTACTTGACTGGGCCACGACGCGAGGTACTGGGCTCGACTTCGGAAGTAATGATAATAGCGTTGACCAAGAGAAGACGATGAGTGGCAGTTTCCGGGGTCGTGGCGACGACTGGGCCAGGATTGGCAGTGAGAGCGGCATCTGGGAGAGGATTTTGATTGAACAAGTTGGATTGAGGGATGCCAGGAACATGGTAGGGACCAGCAGAACCGATGTAACTCTGGGAGATGTTGTCGTAGTATGGCTGGGCATACTGAGGAGTGAATGTGGGAGCAAAGACAAGCTCGTGGAAGGCAGAGCCTTGCTGAAGATTGGTAGGCTGAAGCCAGCTACGTGGAGCGTCTCGAGGGAGGAAGAGGAGGCGAGTCGGGGGTAGATTCGCGAGGGGGAGAGCTGGGTGGAAGAGACGAGTCGCTGTGCATGGCTATAGCGGGATTTTTTGGAAGAATAGGCGGGTCTGCTGCATACCGTCTTTAAGTAGACCTGGAAAGACGCCCCTTGTCGTAAGTATGTTCCTTGTATCCACCATATACGTCCTCGTTGTCCACCTATCGATTGCGGTTGCAGCAGCCCATGAATCTAAAAGAGTGTATTAGGCATGTTGGAGCTCCTTTGGGGAAGATTCACGCACCTAGAGTACGACGACGAGCCAGGAGAGTGGAGGCTGCCTTCACAAAAGCTCAGATGGTGGTGGTCGAAGGCCAGTTGTCAAGCAAATCACGCGCCACAAGCCGACATGGCCGGTCGCGCCATCGGCGGCCATCACACAGGTTTTTTTTGACGTGTTCACTCATTTACGCAAACGACTGTATCATCGACGAGGTTCCGTTTTGCGTGAAGGTTGGTTCGAATAACGCTCAAAACTGCGTTATGGTTACCGGTAGGCTTTGGAACAAGAATTTCGCCCACTTACATTTGTGCTAGGAAACGACAAAAACAATTTTCAAAGTGCTTCTTCAGATTTTGGTGACGTTTGAGTTGCCAAGCGCGGATTTGCCGAGCATGCTGCACTATCATGAGCCAAACATCATTTGAGCGCAGTTTTATGCAACTCACCGTCTGAGATGCGGCAATGCGAGACCGGTGTTCGTCGCGACGAAAGTCTTGATATTCTTCGCTGATGCGCCTGTCAGCCTGGCCTGGGCCGCGACAAGTTCTTCTTTGAGGTATGCACATTCAGATGCTAGCAAATGCTCAAAGACGGCAGAATGCAGGGGTTATGAACTGTTACATTTGTTGTTGGACAGGCGCACATGGACAACATCCTGGAGACAAATATCTGGGTGGTGAGGAAGAAGGCCGTCTCTGGAAAAGTCACGATACTGATGAATCCGAGCATAAACATTCGAAAGGTTATGAATATTCAATATAGACTCACTGGGTGGCAGAGCATTCTTCGCAGATCCGGACGCGCAGCTCCCACTCGGTCTGCAGCTCATTTCGGATGCCACAGAGCTACGTCAATTTCGAGTGAGTTAAATGTCATTGACAGCAACACACAAAGAAACACCTCGCACCTCGCAGGTGGTGGCAAAAAGGAGGGCCACTAGGCAAGGCTCAATGAGGTCGCTGGGGCACAAAGGAAAGCCAGGAAGCTCAGACTTAAGAGCGCGCCTCCACAGGGTTCGAGTCGTCTTGCTGTACAGGAACCGGAAGAAGTGCCAGCATGTAGAAGCAACATTGAGAAGTGACTGCACAGGTAGAAGTTTGAATATCTATTGAGGATCTTGGCATGAACAGCGAGGCATAGCGGCGGGTCTTGCCTCGTAGATGAGCTCGACAGGGAGTTGCGCCAGAACACTCGAAGAGAAAGGTGTGGCTCTTGTCAATGCAGCGGCTGTTCGCGTGTTGTATTGTTTGTGATACAGCTGGCTTGCAGCTTTTTGCGAGAGGAAGTTCGCCAAACAGCAGGCGAGGTGGAACGTGTACTAAGGATATGACACCAGTGACCAGTGACCACTTTCCAAAATTTCAATTTCCAAGAGCTTTTCAAAGTGCAAAGTATGTAGACGGACCCCGCTACGCTTTCCGATTTGGGATACTGGGTGACTTAAGGAAGATGAAATAGAGGTTATCAGCAGCGAAAAAAAACGGGTTTATAAATTTTGGTTTACCTTGTAACTTGTGTGGTCCAAGGGGGTGTCATGTGTCAAAAAGTGACCACCAGGATGGTCGGTCGGTCCCCGGACCCTTAAAAAATTTTTTGGTAGAAACTTTTTGGCTGAAATGGTAAGTCAAAATTGTCTTAGGATGGGTTACAAGTACTGTTTGGTGCACTATACATCCATAATTAAGTATCAACAATCTCACAAGTGGTTATTTTTCAGTATCTCATCATCAGATGGAACATTGTGACAAATCAGACCATATGGGGATGGATATCTGTACTCTGGAGTGAGATTTGTAAGGCAATGACTATATCAGGACTTTGTCTACAAGATATATATATATAGCTAGAAGTCTATGTTTCTATTAATGTTCTTGGAAATTCAGAGGACTGACTGAGTTTGATGCTATCAGATCACATGACTGTGTGAATTATCTTCCTAATATGGTAATGTCACGTCACAGTCACGGTCGGTGGGTCCCCTGGAAGGGCTTAAACAAAAAGTCCAACGTATGTTCCGTTATTTTTTTTCTGATACCCCCTTGGTGTGGTCAATCAACTGAAAGGTGGAGTTGTTTTTCTTACATCTTTTAGAATGCTACCACTTCAGGCCCCGTGAAACTCCACCAAAGGGTTGTCCGAAAATTTGGGTTTTTGAGGCCCCAAAATGACGATTTCCTTGTCCAAAATTTGGGTTTTTCAGGCCGAAAATCCGCCAGCCTTGTCCAAAATATAGGTATTTGAGGGCTTGGATTGCGACGGTCGCCGCCAAGACTCAAGTGAAGTGCAGGTACAGTCGCATATAGCTGCTATTGGTGTAAATACTCAACAATTCGACCAAATAGCTCAGCGTTTGAGCAAAATTTACTTGACAGACCAGCAAAGCTGCCTGTTTTTGGCGAATGTCACGCGTGACATCTAATGACCCTTGTCCGAAAATGGGTTTTTGAGGCCAGAAATTTTGGGTTTTTGAGGCCCAAATAGAGGTTATCAGCAGCGAAAAAAAAACGGGTTTATAAATTTTGGTTTACCTTGTAACTTGTGGTCAATCAACTGAAAGGTGGAGTTGTTTTTCTTACATCTTTTAGAATGTTACCACTTCTCCCTGCCAAGCAACCGGGCACTTTTCTCCCAAAATTTACAAGTGGAGCTTAAATCATTCTTAGTTTTCATGCATCAGTCCTCTATATTTTGCTAGAATCAGGGCTGCTAATAACCTCTAATCTGGATTTTTTTTGGACAACCCTTTGGTGGAGCTTCACGGGGCCTACCACTTCTCCCTGCCACGCAACCGGGCACTTTTCTCCCAAAATTTACAAGTGGAGCTTAAATCATTCTTAGTCAGTCCTCTATATTTTGCTAGAATCGGGGCTGCTAATAACCTCTAATAAATAAATATTTCTAGCAGTGCCAAATGATGTGCCCATTGGCGCTGCCGCAGCTGAGTGAGACGTGACAGTGTGACGCTCCGCGACAGTGATTGTAGTTGTCAGATATATAAAGTTTTTTCTTGGCCCAAAAAACAATATGATTGAAGGTAAGCCGACGAGCGGCGTTGCACAAACTGAGGACTAGCAACCTAGCACGAGATTTCATAGCCATATATTGGCTGGTGCAAGTGCAGAAGAGCCTGAGTACAGAGTAGAATCTATACTATTAGATTTAGGACAGCAGTTTTTGAAGTTTTCCAGATGTTTTAGGGACCAATAAGCAGCTAAAAATTTAATATTCTAGGCTCATTATGCTTAGTTCCTCCTGCTTCTCATGTACCGTTGGCTTGATTTACTTTGCTTTCAACTTTGCTACTTTTCATATTCGGTGACATTGGACGTCCTCTCCCGAGTACCCCCGGCCTCAGCTACGTACGTCGGCTGCCGAATCAGAGCGACCACAACGTCTGGAAGGCCTGCAGGGTGCTATACTTCGCAATTGGGCTTCGTCTTTACGGGTTTCGCTGCGCTAGGTATATGCGGATCTTGTTTGTCTGTTTCATTCGTGGGTGGCCCAAGTATACCCTCTGTAGGCTAGGCGCTCTACAAGCTGGAGGTCTTCCCTCGCGTGTCTTGGATGCGCTTCTGCTTGTTTTGTGCTGTTTGACCCGTTGGGGCCGTGCGTAATTTGCCGCTGTCAAGTAGGTCGTGACGAAGAGATTCGTTCCAATAGTCTGTTTTGTTTATTTGAATGTCATTTGCTTGCTTCCCTCTGTTGTCTCGTTTAAGCCCAAATAATGAATGCTACAACGGCTCCGTAGTCCATATTATATTCTAGACCTTTCAGACAGGGGCCCAAGAAGAGCGACCCCAATATCTAGGTCCAATCCTGACGACTACCACAAGACCGATCGCAACCTTCGCCAGATCGAAAACCAGGTAAGGTTTACGCGAGCCCAGCAGAAAAGATACCCCAGACACACAGGCAAAAGCCCATCGCACGGACATCGGTCGCTCAAAACTAGGGAGAAAGTAAGTCAAGAATGTCAGAAAAGCAGAGAAGAGTGACGAGCCGTTGCTTCTCGAATAATGGTCCGCCGACCCATGAGGCAAAATCCACCAACACTAAAAACGGTGCCGCACTCAACACGAAGTGGTCTCCGTCAAACGGCGTTGTCAGACCCGCGCCAGCAAGAGTTCGGACCCAGACAACGAGCACGGGGGCAGCGAGGGGCAATAACCAAGTCATGAACAACAGAATATGCATGCTGTGGTTGTGATTGCCCGCAACAAACGGCGGCGGCGGAGCTACCGGTCGATGGCTGGGCGTTACAGACTGGGGTTCGCCATCGCGGCGTAAAAGAGGTATTGCGACTGCATCTGGAATCGAAGCGAAGTGCCTCACGTGCGCCTGGGAGATGGCGCAATTGTAGAGATGGATGGCCCAGCAGCCAAGGAAGGCCACTTGCCAGGGCACAAAGAGAAATATTAGGAGGAGAATGAAGATCATCGAGATGACGGTGCTTCGGTGGACAGTTGTGTCTCGTCGTCCCAGTCGACCGAGCTTGGACAGCGGCCACAATAGCAGTCGGAGAAGATACCACGTTGTACAGACAAATCCCGTAGAAATCAACACCAACAATGGCGCTACTGCAGTGAAATATGGTTCGCCCCTGTTACCGAGGTAGAACGCCTCTGGTAATGGGCAGAGCGAAACTAGTGCGGAAAGCAAAAGTAATCGTCGCAATGGTTTTCTGAGAAATATCGATATCGAGTCCTCGAGTGTTGGAACAGGAGCTGTCCAGGAAAGTCAATGATAAAAAAGGTTATGGTGAGCAAATGACAAACCTCCGGCTTCACTAGTCCCCCAAGCATGGAATAATATCCACGCAACGATTCCCGTTGCCCAAACAGGCAAAATGGTATAATACCTCGATGCCCAGCGTCCAAAGGTTGCAGACCAGTCGATAGAAAGATCAAACGTGGTTATTGGCGACAAACATCCAGTAGGACCAGAGGAATACATGGCGAACTTGATACCGAATGCCGATACATTATGAGTTTGAACATGTGGCGCAGAAGCGTGTGTGTGAAGAAGGATTTTTCTCTCTGGTGGGACGAGGAGAGGAAAGTAATGCGTTTCCGATGGTTGAGAAGTGTGTTGGAGAAGAGGGGGGAAGAGAGGGTCTAAGTTACATCAGAGAAATAGCTTGGTTTGCTGAGAAGAACGAACCACAACGTTGGTCGAGTGCTGAATGATGCGGTGTGACTCTGTAAACGACCAGTGCGTTCGATAGTAGATTAGGGAACTCAAAAGAGCTTCTGTAAGTCTCGCTTTTTGGCATTGATATCGAAACTTTGCCAAAAAAGAGTTCTAAGCGTGATATCATTAGCGTCGCTCACGAGGAAAAATATAAACTCACGCAACGTCCGAACATCATTAACAACCGGTTCATCTGGCACGAAATCTCCAACAATCCAACCCTCCCCACGACCATTCTCCATCTTCACACCAACCCAACTTGAATTGGGGTCGATGTCGGCTTCGAACAACACAACACCCTCCGACTCGTCTGATCCCTCTTTAGGAATGGGAAATGGACCTCCCAAGATTGGACTTGGAAGAAGCTTTAACACTGAGGGTGGTTGCTCACTACATCGTAATGAATCCTTGGTTGTTCCGCTACACGAAAAGACAGATGCTGATAGAGAAATTGGATTTTGTGGAGAAACTGGCTGAATTGAGCCTTGTGAGAGAAGAATGACAAATTTCGTGGAGCTCGCTGCTGGAACGGGTAAAAGATACGTTTGTTCGCCGTGTGGATTTCGCAAGACCAGCGGCATGTCAACTGGCAGGAACTCTGCGTTGGTTGGTATAGCAGTGGTGGAATGAGGAAGTGGTGGAAGAGCATGTCCGTCTCGTAACCAGCGATCCAGAACGAGAGCTCGCATCTCCGAAGTAGAGGCAGAATCTATTTCGAGAGCAGCACGAGCGATACGCCATCGAACTTGGTGACACCAAACCATTTCCCGATGTCCGACACCGGTCCAAGCACCCTCGAGAGCAGACGAAAAGACCGTCCGTCTAAATGAGGTAGATTCGGGTAGAACACAAGACTCGGAAGGAATCATCAGGTCCGTCGCACCCCCGCAAAGCGACACAATTGGTGTGGGATCAAGAGCAAGGACTTTTCTCGTCAGGTCATAAATGGCGTCAATACGGGCGTCTAAGCGGGCTGGAGGGAGTTTATGTGGCGTTGACATGGTGATTATGGTAGAGATGTTGCCAGTGTGGTTATATTCGGGGCTGAGGAGAGATGTCGCAACAACACCTCCCATAGAATGACCCATAACGATGATTTGGGTACCGGGTGGGTAAAGGGAGAGAATATAGTCGATTGCGCGCGCAGTGTAGGTGATCTGGGCCTCAATTGTCGGTCCATGAAATGCAGATAAGTCTTCGTTGAACTCCACTGCGACAAAGATATGTTTGTGATACATAGCAGAAAGACAAAGGAACACACCTGCATAGAAGTCTAACGGCCTAATCCGATCTCTAAACTCCGGAGCAGCGGAGGATGGTGCGTGATAATATTGTCTAGCGGCCGAGGATGCAATGGAGCGAACTTGACGCCAAGAACCAGCATTGCCAGGAATAAACAACACTGGCAAGGATTTGAGCTGTGTCCTTGAGCGAGAAGTCAACGACAAGAAGACCACATACGGCGTCCGAACCCCAGTGATTTCCCTGCCCGTCGTGTTCTCGATACAGCTGGAGGGAGTAGCGGTTTGCTAACGAGGTCCAGGTGCCGTCAAATCTGGACTGTGGCACATATGATTCCCACATATAGGACATCCGGCATCCTTGAGGTGAGAGCTGGTCAACGACATTGAGTGTCGCCACGTGGAAGCCAACGACTGAGAGTAATGAAAAAAAGGCAAGGAAGCCGGCCAAAGATGGGAAGAGGTAAGATGGCATGACAAATCATACCTTGTCGTGCCCCAGAAGAGAAAACTCGACGTAAAATCTGCATAACTACATTTGCTGATCATAACGAGCGCTTGTAAACGTTGAGATATAAACAGAGCGAGGCTGCCGCCGAAGCAACATGCAACTGTTCGAACTTTGCAGCTGTTCATTTGTCAGACTCATTTGTCACGGCAGTCACTATGTGACGGCGCCCTGGCACCCCACAAACTTTTTGTCAACACTAAGTATCTTACCCTCTCCAACTCACCATCTCCATCTCCCGAAACTTGAATATCATGCTCGGTTTTGATTCTTCGAACCATTGGTCGGCCCATGCTCTCGTGGTCTATGTCAACTCGAAGACCACGGAATTCAAATCCAAACGCGTCATCATCTGTTGCAATTGGTGAATGTGTACTTGCTGAAAAGGCATCCGAAAGATTCCTTTTGTGAACGCTCGTTGGCGCCGATTCGCTCAGATGAACCGTCACATCTACATCCAGAATGCTCATTGCGAACCAACAACGATCGTCTGACTTCGGCATCTGACCTGCTTGCTAGATAGAGAAGATGCGGTGAGCACCCCGTGTGTAAGCCCCGAGTTGCTTTGCCTGTACTTGCTCTATCTCATTCATCTGATATTAGGCATTCATTGGCCTTCACAGCAGCCCTAACCGCATCCCGTGAACGATACCATGTGCCCGGGACGGACTTCTGGTTGCCTTTTTATACGAGTGGGGTCAATTGAGGCTTTCGATATACCCCGATCTTTCGAGGATGTTATTGAGAGCGACCTTTGCGTTTGCGCTTCATGCGTTGCACCTCGTAACCGCGAATCCATTGAAGAGGCAAAGCAGTCCAAAAGCTGTCTACGCCCATTTCATGGTGCGAATTTATATACCATTTATGCTCATCTCATGCTATCCAGGTTGGGATCGTTGAGAACTTCAGTGTCGCAGACTGGGTGGGCGAAATGCAAACAGCAAAAGCCATCGGCATCGATGGTTTCGCGCTCAACTGCGCCCCTCCTCGTGTGGACAGCTACACACCTAAGCAACTTGCCAACGCCTATGCTGCCGCTACCCAAGTTGGCGGCTTTACTGTCTTCCCATCACTCGATTTTGCGTACTGGAATAATGGTGACACTGGGACAATCATCCAACTTTTGCAAAATTACTCGAGTCTCCCCTCCCAGGCAAGGTACAACGGCCGACCCATCATAAGCACGTTCGTTGGAGAGTACTTTGACTGGGCGGCAGTCAAGCCCACAGTCAACGTTTTCGCGATCCCCAACTTGGAAGACCCCGCACAAGTCAATTCGCTCAGCACGAGCTTTGACGGCGCATTCAGTTGGTATGCCTGGCCGACCGATGGCGGCAATAGCATCAAGGTCGGACCGATGGATACCACATGGGATGACAAGTTTGTTACAAACTTGAGGAATGCCGGGAAAGGCCAAATATACATGGTGTGTTGTCCATTCTCGAAGTATTAGTGCTAAATAAATTTGCTCAGATGCCTGTCTCTCCCTGGTTCTCGACTCATTTCAACAGCAAAAACTGGGTATTTATTGCCGAGCAACTTATTACCGACCGCTGGCCTCAAGTCCTCTCAATCAAGCCAGAGCTCGTGGAGGTACATGAATTCCTCGGCTCATCAGACGTTATTCTTATAATCTCGATTAGCTTGTTACTTGGAATGACTTTGGCGAAAGCCACTACATCTCTGACTCTGAGCCAACACATTCTGACGATGGTTCTTCCGTCTGGGCCAATGGATACCCTCACGCTGGATGGCGAATTATCACCCAAGCCTATATCGCCGCTTACAAATCTGGTGCCTCTGCCCCTGTCGTCAACTCTGATCAATTGGTGTACTGGTACCGTGCCTTCCCCAAGGTTTTTATTTTGGATCTGTTTTCTCTCCTTTGCTCAAAGTCGTCCAGAATACCGTTTGTACAGGCGACACCCTTGGACCACCCAACGGAATCAATCTTCTCCAAGACTTAATTTTCGTCACTACTCTGGTTACATCCCCTGCGACCCTTACCGTCACCTCTGGCTCGTTTGCACCTGTAACGATAAACGTTCCTGCGGGAGTGACGACGCATAACTTTACTATGGGAATCGGCTCCCAAACCTTCGTTCTTTCCCGTAACGGTGTCCAACTCGCAGGAGGAGTCGGCGGCATGCGTACCTCAAACACCTGCACAATCTACAGTGGGTTTAAATTTTGTACCATTGACTATTTGATCGGTATTAATAATTTGCTTAGACTTTAACGCATATGTTGGCTCATTTGGAACCGGGAGCACGATTTCGACAAGCGCCACCGCTTCTTCCTCTACCCGTGTCAGCTCGAGCACAGTTGTCTCCTCGTCAACACGAGCCTCGTCGTCTGTATCATCTGCCTCTTCCAGCCGCATCACTTCCCCGCCAGTCAGTTCAAGCTCGAGAACCAGCGCCAGTGCAAGCTCAAGCCAGACATGCGGCACCGGATGCACCATCACCGCTTCGTCTCAAATCTTCCCAACCAATTGCCTGCAACCTGGGTGTGTCTGGCAAGGACCCGCTGGCCAAGGGACACCCGACCATTGCGATACTGGGGGGAAGCCGTCATGTACTGCCTGAGAAATCGTTCTAGATGTTTGTATTATCTATGCATACTCTTTTCAAGGCAAGAGCTTTCTATTTTCTTTGCTAGGATGACAATTCAAGCTACGAGGTTAAAACACAAATTCAGACGACTCCTAGGGTTAGGGTCAGGCATAAATAACGATATTAGACTATTGAAATATCACCTTGACGGTATTCCACGTTATGGAGACGTTCAAGCCATTTTTCCGAAGCTCTCGGAGCACATCAAGACCCTCCTTAGGCATTCCCTCGCCCAACCCCTTGAAATTCATCCCGGCTGGTAATTTTTCAGAGGTCACGACTAAGCCTTCAAGTGCACAATCAGATGGCTGCAGGGCGCGTCGTTTCAGGATTCCAGGACCAGCCTCTTTCATCAGGGAAGTCAACATGATGACACAGTCCATATACGGGAAGTGGAGGACACTGACGCCGGGAAGGAAGGTCGAATCCACGGCAAAAGCTTCGAAGAACATCTCCAGAAACCCATAGCTTATGTGTCGCACGGTTAGGGTATGCAACGATGGAAATGGAGTGTAGAACGAGCGCACGAATTCGGTCATGCCACGCGGCGGAATATTGAGCGAAAGTTGCTGTAGCATCAACGAACGTTGGGCAAACGAGGCGATAACTCGATCTGATTCTTCTCCCAGCACCCCATGCTGGATTTCAAGTGATTGTAGTGCAGGAAAATTCCAGGAGAGTAGAACATCCGACATAGCGGTCCCGTTATACCAGTTCCCGCTCACCCTCAAGTGTTGAAGAGCTGTGTGCGTGATTGGCAGAGCCAGCAAGCCTGGATTGATCGGGTTCAGGTCAAGATGGATGGTGCATTCAGTTAAATTCGGGGTAGCGAAAAATAGGGAAGCCAGTTCTTGGATGGTATAGGCTCGTCCATCGAAGCGAACCAAGTTAGCGCAAGGAAATGCAACGAGTTGAGGGGTGAACGCAAAGAGAGAGGCACGTTTCAAGCGTGACGCATCGGTGAATATGTGGATGGTATTGGTCAACGACACAGGTTGGTATATCTCTGGAAGAGAAAGCTCTTCTACACTGGAGAATTTGGCATCTTCATGGTGCTTGCCCCAGTACGCGTCGAAGGCATCGAATGCGGAGACTGACATGTCCAGAGCGAGATGCGAGATGCGCTCGCAATACCTCGAAAGTGCCGTCAAATGTCCCACTCTTTTGATACTAGCGGTTTGAATGGGGTTATATAGAGTGATATGAAGGGGAAGACCAGCAGATCGTTCGAGGATGGCAGTAAGCTCCAACCCATTCCAGACCGGTTCGTTAAGTTTGACACGAAATCGATACCAAAGCAACGGAGCAGACGATGCGATTTGCCGCCATCCACGACAGACCCTCATGAGTAGCCGTGGGGCCAGCGCTCGGTTCATGGGGTCAATCATCCTAGGTTCGGGCAGACAATGCATGAATATTCCGACGACGATTTCCACGGGAAGGGAATCGAAAGGACTGGGAGCTGGCTTAACTTTCGGGCGTTGAGATTTGGGCTTTTTTGGCATCATGAGTCGATGAAGCAAGTACATCTGTAAAAAGTGCGTGACTGCTTACGTGTAAACACGGTCACGAGGTCAATATTAATTGATCGTGAACTCAAACGAGAGTTTCGCTCCAAGTCAAAGTATAACAGATTGCGAATCCATACTTTTCATACAAATAAACTCTACTCCAGCCATGAGACCACTAAGTCTTTCGAGATAACCGCAGGTTCAACAGATATAATAGTCTCTTCCATTTCCTGTAAAAATGACCATTGAACATTGTCCGTTAGAAGCAGATAGGCAAAACGCACCTCATCGAGATCATCCGATTCCACCGAGTACGATATATCGAACTCGATTCCCTGAGATGCAAGTTTTTGCAGTATGGCGGCATATTCAGGGGGTGGGTATACGTCTTGGGTAGTTCCGATCGCCTGAGCGGTGACGGAGCGTAAGGTGACGAGAGGTGCCGAATGCTTTCGCAAGCTAATTGCAGGACCAGCGAACATAAGGAAAGCATATAATGCAATCTCTGGTGGGCTGAGACGCTCGAAAAGAAGCTCCTGGAGCATGGGAAATATGCTGAGCTCGGACCCGTAGGCGTCAAAGAAAGAGCGCAGGAATTCCGGTGTGGCATCTTGCACACTAATGAGACGAAGGGTCGGGAGCGGCTTGAATAGATCGATGATGCCTTGAGTCGTTTCGTACCAAGGGTATTCCCCAGAGCCAGATATGGTAAGTTCGGCGAGCTGTGGTGACCGCTCCGCTAAAATTTGACCCCATTTCTTGTTCTGCATATAAGGCAGAACCAATGATTTCAGAGCGGGCAGCATGAAGCATGCGACTATATCAGGAAGGACGGACGGCTCTAAGCCATTCTGCCCCCACATCAAGTCGAGTTTCAGCTCTTGTAGGCAGGCATGGTGAACCGTCGGGGCTGCTCTCAGGCTTCCTGCAATGCCTTCCAAGTTATGGCTGATTTTGATCACCACTGCGGCGGAATTCAAGTTGGGCATGTCGGAAAACAAATCGTTCAATTCGTTGAGCGACTCCACAACGGAGCCAAAATGGACCAGATTGGCTCCATAGGCATTATAGTCGAATTTAAAACCAGCAGCGGGTATGGCACCGAGAAGCAGGTTTTGCAGCTCTGGTGCCTCGCTGAACGCAGTGATGGGATACACCTTGAAAATCATCGTGGGATCGTCCCAGTACAGCTCGCGCGCGATGGAGAAGCTTTTCAATGCTGGGAACTGGAGATGGTCCCGGCGGTCTGCAAGAAGAACCGAGGTGGAAAGGAACTGGTTGACCAGCAGGAAAATCATTTGAGTTATGTCGATTTTGAGGTGTTTAACACGGTGGCAATATTGCGCAAACATCCGCAGGTTGGCGTAGTCCAAGCCGTCAAGCGGGTCCTCCCATCCGCTGAGAAGCGTCACGGTAAGCCTTCGGTCTGCCGAGCGACGTATGCATTCTTCGAATTCCGTCTCCCACACTCTTTCGCTGACGTCGATGAGGAAGGCGTCCCACAACTGGGGTGTTGTTGTGACGATATAGCGCCAATGTTGACACACATGCATGAGTAGTCGGGGAGCGGTGGTCGGGTCCATCAAGTCGGGGGCTATGATGTCCAACTCGAAACGACAATAATCGAATATTTCGATCATCAGCTCGGTGGGCAGTGTGTTGATAACATTTCGCGGTTGTTCGTTAGGAGCAGTCGTCATTCTGCCCGGGCCTTGAGTGCCAGTGGTCAGGAAACAAGAAGAGATCGAACGAGTAACGCTGCGTGTCACGGTTCACCTTTTCACAATGGCCGGGCTCGTCCTCGAGCCGCATATGGAAATGTTGCTTTGACTCAAGTTGCCAGCGAGCCCTGTAGTCAATCGCAAAAGGAACTGCCTATCATTCGTGTCGTATTCATTCATTCGCCTAATACATGAAGGTATGCTACAAAATTTGTCAATCACTTGCGACTGGGGGTAAAAGCAATGCCATCGAGTTGGGCAGCGAAGGCAGTGGCTGCCTGGACAGTGGGGTCCTGAAGGTTGGTGTTCTGGTGTCCAGCAATGCACGTTCCGGGGAAACCAAGGAGAGTCGCGACATTGCAGTTGGCGACGGCGGTGCCATGACCACATCCACCTGACCCATTGGTCTGAGCAACAGCTGGCCCTGCACATTTGCCGCTGGTGAAGCCACAGCACCCTTGTTGGCACTCAGAGTCAGAAGCACAGGTCTCAAAAACAGTCTTCTTCGATGTTTGAGTAGCGGCAAGCTCAGCGACAGATTTTCCGGCGGCAGAGGCAGGAGCAGCAGCGTTGTTACCCGCAGGTGGAGGTGGAGGAGGAGCCGCAGCAGCTAAGATCCTCTTAATAATGAAACATAAAATAGTTGAATCAGCATACCGGGAGCAGCAACAGATGGGGTGAATGCGATTCCGTCTAGTTGAGCAGCAAAGGCAGTTGCGGCTTGAACGGTTGGGTCGTTCGTGTCGGTATTTTTGAAGCCAGAAATGCAAGTTCCGGGGAAACCGAGGAGGGTTGCGACGTTGCAGTTAGGTGCAGCGGTACCATGTCCGCATCCGCCGGAGCCATTGGTTTGGGCAACAGCTGGACCCGCACATTTACCACTGCTAAAGCCACAGCAGCCTTGTTGGCACTCGGAATCAGAGGCGCAAGCCGTAAACACCGTCTTCTTCCCTTGCTGAGTGGCCGCAAGCTCAGCAACGGTTGCACGACGAGTCAACTGGGGAGCAGCAGAAACGCTGACTGCGACTAGAATCGAAATTAGTTTTGCTGTTGGGAAAAGAAGGAGACGAAACATACGGACGGAGAGGGAGAGAAGAGTAGCAGAGAACTTCATGATCGTTATATAGGTGGGATTGGGTTGTTTGAATGAAAACAAAAAAGGACAACACAGTTGTCTAAAGCCGAGAAGATGAAAGGCAAAGGGGTGGAGACGAAAAAGAAGGGGATCGACCTGAAAAACTCGCTGTGCTAGACCTCTTTTTATAGCTGCAGACAGCCGCGCCAGATAACGGCAAGCAGATAGACAGAACCGCCCGAATCATGATCCACTTGAAACCGTCCACACAACACCGTTTTTCGGTTACCTAGCGTAACAGTAAAACTGTTGTCTGGTGGCGATCCTTGATTCTTCCAGTTATAAATAGTCTCGCAGCAAATATCACCCATATTGTGTCCCTCTGAGACGGGGTGAAAAGGCGGAGGTGCGATTGAAATGGCACCCGAAAGGTTTTCCACGTCATGGCCAGCATCTGACCGGGAGAGACTGGCTCCATTCAGAATATCAATTCAGCCCAGCCGTGCTATGAATAGCCAAGTCCCCTTGCTCGCTTCCGCAATCTGGCCGCGGTAAGTGCTATGTATGCTTTGTTTGCACCACGAAAAAGATTCAGCCGACCGAGGTAAAGATATCAGTTCAGTGGACCAGAATGACAACATGGCGGAGTTTGGTGTTATGTAGGCGGGGTCCGAAAATAGAGCAAAAGCGGCGCCTGAGACGGTCACTGTATCGCTGTCTCGTCTCGACGATAGTGTTCCGCTCATGGGCATGTATTGCGAAGTTGGGGTCCACGCGTTCAATATCCCTTCGTATTCATCGCAGTCAAGACGGACGAGAAATTGAACATAACAGCCTTCAAAACACAGGCGATCGGAACCACCCCTGAAGCGGTTTCGTCAGACCGGTCAATTCTGAAGGTGCCCCCTCCTCGCGAGCTTCAAACCCGTCTCGCCGGTGGACTGATGGTTTCCATGCCGCAATCCAGCTCTTTATCGACGCGAGTGCTTCCGTCTGAACCGCTAACACGGCTGCATTGGCTGTGCCTTCGCGAGTTACTGGGTAATGTGTTAGACTATTTTTAGACGAATTGATACGCATGCAGCGGATCAAAGACGACTCACAAAGATCGGCACAGTGGTAACCAGCTCCAACAGCGATAGGTTGCGATGGCGTGCTTTTTATCGTCACTCCAGGCGCCGACATCGTTGCATAACGCCAGGGATCACCTAACAAGAGTATGAGTCGACATTATCGGGACAAACAAAAGAACACAAACGTTGTCCGTTGGCAAAGAACAAGTTGGAGATAGACACATTCCAACCGTCATATAGCTTGTTGGTCCGGGTGATTTGAACGTTTGGAGGTCTTGGGAAGGCAGCAGAGAACATCTGTTGGCATTGACGGAGATCGTATGTGGGCTGGACGAGTCGAGTAACGAGAGAAGGCACGCCTGGTGGGGCTGATTCTTGTAAGAATCCAACTTCGTTGCATCTAGATCAATCGAATGAGGGTGTACATTTTGTTACAGAGGAAGGGAGACGAACACAATCCAAAACCCTAAGATAGCTTGAGAAGAGGCACTGCGATGGATGTAGCCACTTACAGGATCTGCCAGCGTTGTCGATGGATGTGTCGGTCCAGAAGGCTTGAGAAGTGTTGTAGGTTCCCAAACAGTCTCTGAAGCCTGATCAAGACGCGTCTGAGGAAGGGAGGAGATTGCACCAACTCTGCATCAAGGTGACCACAAACTAAGGATAGGTCAACGAGAATAAAGATCTCAGAAGGGACAACGGACTGAGTGGGAAATAAGTATTGCTCCAGTATGATGACCATGCAGCTAATGCATGATCCAACCCCCAACCACTGGCCGGAGCGCTGACACCGTCTTTTACCTCAAGCGCATCACAAAAGTCGAAGAATTGAGCCCCTGGGCCGATGGTAAGAGACAGGCCTTGCCAGTCCCACAGATTGTTGCGTAGTGAACCAGCAACGTCATCAAGATGGGTGACGTCGCCCATGCTGAATGAATCCTTTATCGCTTGGATGGCTTTTGTATCCCGTCCAGTAAACACCTGTTCTACATTAACATATCGTCTCGATTGGGGGGAGAAAATTATACCTGATCAACGTGTGCGATCACCTTTTGGATATCGGCCGAGCAGTTGGCGGGCATGAATAAGCGTTCGGGCTCGAAATATTGCCAAAAGTCAAGAATGGCTTCAACAACGGCACTCGATGCATATCCAGCAGCGAATAGTTTCGGTTTGTTGACCATCGTCCAGCTCGTCAAGGCTCCCGAGTAGCTTCCGCCTACGAGGATCCAAGGCGTTGTGTTGGGCTTGAGATTTCCTCCGTTGGGCATAGGAAGAACAACGTTTTTGGCGAAGTATTCCAAGTCATCAATTGCTTGTTGTATGGTGTGTAGACGCAGACTTTTGACGCTCAAATCGGGAAGTGGGTTGCTTCGAGGTAAGTCAGTCGCTATCAGAGTAATGTATAGCAAGCGTACATACCTGAGACCATAAAACCGATGCTCCAAAACAATAGCCGCTCCGCTTTCTTGCTGGGCAATTTGCCCATTTATCGTCGAGTTCGTCAAATAGCCAAAGTAAGCTGAGAAGGGTCGTCAAAAACGGGTGAGACGAATAAAAATTACGCACGAGAAGCGTTGGCCTCGCCAGGCGTGAACAAAACGATCGGACCACCTAATATGGTGTCAGTGTTGCTTAATCCACACAATTCATCTCACCCTCTTCATAAAACTCCCAGGTGTGCCAGTAACGTTGTGTAAATGTGCCCAAAGAAGGCTAAAGTAGAGGATCAGGGAAAAACAGTTCGAATGAAGACCGACACGAACGTTATTGTGGTCGATAAGTTGTTGGAAGGTGAAAGTAGTATTATATGGTGGTAGAACAGTCCCATTCTTGCTGACGACTGGTCCAGCCTGCACTAAAGGCACGACTGGGACTGTGGCTTTTCGAGGGAAATTGGCGTGAGGTCGCCCATCTGATAGGTATGCGTGAACCACGGACAAAAATGTGAGGGCCGAAAGCTGGAGAAGCATGTTATCTCTAAACGTCCCCCACAAGCGCATGAGTTTTTATACGGGAAAAGTTTCTCCGTATCATTTTGAGAAGTTCGTATGGCGGAGCTATCAGAGCAGCGTCGTGTCGAGCATGCTACAACTACCAGGTGGTCCAATAGCGGGCGTGCCTGATTTGCTAGTCATACAGCGATAGATTATGAGTATTGAGGGAGTATCGAACCTTAGTTCATGTCCCAGCAGACCACATGAGCGGGAGGGCTTGAATTCTTTGCTCAATCCATCCTGTAAGATAACGACGTGGGCGACATTGACGTAAAGCGGGGGGATGGAAGGATTCTAAGTTGTCTGCAACATATGGTCGCGCCTGATAGCCCAAAAAAACAGGCTTCGACGCGCGACATGGAAGCGGATGCATCGAGGGCAAACCGAGTGATCTAGAAACGCTTGTTGACACCTATTTACCATCACTTTGATGCATCATTTCGTGCTCCCGTGCTCCACGTGACGTTGGCTTTCTTGCTTCGACACGACCTTGTTGTCCACGTTTTCGTTCTCCCTCCCACGGCCACTCACGTTCTACTAAAGGCCCTACGCCTTCTACGCGCTACGCACCCAACGCTCACTCAAGAACTCAACGAATATGATTCCTCTTATCCCAACACTCGCTCTCGGGCTACTTTCTTTCTTCAGCTCCATTTTCGTCATTTTAAGGATTATCCTTCCGATTCTTCCGCCTTCCCCGTATGTGCACAACTCTCTGGCTCTTTCAGCCCATTGACTCTTCCCAACAGCCTCAGTAGACGAGTTGCTCCTGTATGCTCATTTCATTTTCCTATTCTTCCTGCTGACGATCTTGCCAGTCTGAATTTGGCCTTCCTAACTACCGGTCCATCTCTAACGCTGACCAAAGGTGCGTGCGTCGCTCATTCCGCCTTCGTTAATGCTCACTCCCCCTCGAGTCATGTTTGGCTGGCGGTTTTGGACATCTTGGCCCTTTCGTTGTTCATATGGCAAGCCATCAGCGAGTACTCCGGAGGAGTCACTGGTTATGCTGCGTCTCTTGATGCGACCGCCTCATCCAGACTGTGGCTGGCTTTGACAATCCGCCAAACTGTGTTCCTCGTCGTTGCGGGTTTAACCCTACTTCATCTCCGAATGGGTCGCTCGGTTTCATTTGGTACCAAGAGCTGGATGCTCTGGGCTCCAACATTGGTTTTGATTGGTAGTTCGACTGGTATTGCAGCTGTTCTCTCCGGCGCTGGCATTCCTAGCTTGTTTATTGGTCTCGCCTCTTACACGGCCGTTGTTGCAGTGCTCAGCACTGTCACTTTCTGTTGCGTAGTTGGCACTCTTCTCGCAATCAAGCGCAACTTGGCCGCTATCAACGAAGAGTCGGAGCCCTGGCCTCCCGCTAAACAAGTGGAGGAGAAAGCGCGTCCTTCGTTCGCTGAAGAAGACGTCGATGCTCTGCGTGATGGAGCCTCATGGATTACATCATCTGTTGGCTCACGGCGCAACTCTGGATCCGCGTGGTCATTCTCAACTCATGCGCCGTCGACTCAAGCTCCACCGAAATCCTCCATCCCTGCAAAGTCATCATTTTGGTTCAGCTCGTCCACACCAGCAGATGCCCCTCCGGTTCCACAACTTCCCTCCGCTTACGGCCCTCTCTCACCGCCAGCCCAGGATCTTAATGATCCTGACCCATTCCGCCGTGAAGAGCCGCGGCCGCGTCTTGGTTCACAAACATCATGGTTGACATCTAGTAATGGTTCCCAAGTAACGATGTCTGCATGGTCATACCCGACAACACATAAACCCGACGACCCTCGCATCGCCAGCACCAACAATGTAAACGCCGCTCTCCTTCAATCGCACACCGCTGTCAGCCGCCCTACCACCCCTGCTCTTGCCGAAGCCAAGGTTCTTGGCGGATATGGATTTTCTCCCGCAAGTCCAGACGCGGAGAAGAGCCTTGCAGGTCTTGCAGTCGCTCCAGGTGCGACCATCGACATGACTATTTCTCGTGCCTTAGGTTGGTTAATTTTAATTTGGGTTCCATTTGTAAGCTCCTGCTTTTTGTCGCGCAGTAGTTGTTAATTCGTACTTGCAGGCCACTTCGATTCCTTACCTTGCGCTTTCTCAACAGAATACTCAAACGCCTATTGTGGCGTCCGTGCTCCTCACGCTCTCCATCACGCTTTCTTCACCAATCCTGGCTCTGACTCTTCTCTTCCGTTCTCCTTTCCCAATCCCGCATGGCATCTTCGACAACCGTGGTGACCTTCCAAGCAACGTTGTTCGTGATCCTGCACCAGCTGGTAGTGTACCATCGTACAAATGGTCCCACGAATACAAGCGGTCCACCAGTGCAAGCGTCACGGTCGTCGAGGGCCGTCGCAGTGGCGATGTTTGGCTGACCAATGGTGATGCGGTTGACGGAAAGGGCAAAGTTGGAAGAGCATTTGGGATGATTTCTCCGATGCCCAAACTATCTGTTCTTCCACCAGAAGACTACGATGAAGTTATTCCACCAACTCCGATCCCAGAGGAAGGCGACTCCTCTCTCCCGGTCTCCATTCACAACACCACCCAGTCGGAGATGAGTGCGCAATTTGGTCGTTTACGCAGTTCCCTCGCCAGCTCGCATGTGTCTGGTGCCGACGAGAGCATGGCATATGCAAGCCACATCATGATTGCCCAACGCCATTACTCCGCTGTTGCTAAAACTTTGCTGGTTTCTGGCTCTCCCGAAAAGACTGACAAGAACTTGGCGGCGGCCTCAGGCGTCGCAACAGACAAAGCAAGGCATTCGACTCATCTCCGCACTCGGTCGACATCATCCGTCCAGCAGAGTCCTACGGCCACCTCCTTCGGAACCAGTCCGAGCCCTCCACCTTCATTCCCCCTGCCTCCAACTCCGCCCAATGTTCGTGCTGCCCGTTTGGCTCAGCTCAAACACAAAAAGTCATTTTCGTCGGGAGCTTTTTCGTTCGGTGCCGTTGATGACATGAACGAAATAGACGCACTTACTGCTGGGGTACTGCCGCTTCTTGTACCTGGTCTGAAAGTTGGAAAAGACATGAAGATTAAGGATGGCGATTGGGCGCAACCTGCGAGTTATGGCCGCGCTAAAGGTAAACGGGCTATGAAGCTCCAGGTTCACGAGTTTGGTGGAGACTTTTCGTCTCCGGAGGTCCATTCAACTCCGGCGAGGACTAGAGCTCAAGCTCAGGCAAGATCAAAGAAAATGTCAATGCACAAGAGTCGTCATTTCAGCTTGCCTAGGTTTGTTTCCTCGTTCATTTTGTTGTTGAAGCTGACAACTACATATCAGCCTCGGTCTTGGAAAGGACGGCGTGCATTCCCTCGCCCACGAGATCGCCCGCGCATTGGAAAATCAAGTCGGACAGTATACCGCTCTCCCTGCCAATGTCGATATCAACCGCCGGGCCACTGTCTTCGGAGGCGAGATTCCATCGAACAACTTCGCCGAAGGTGGCGCAACGAAACTCACTCGCGGATTGTCTTCTCGTCGTCTGGGACTCCAGAGTGATGTCCCGCGTGACGCCCGCTTGTCTGCGGACTCGCTCAACATCCGAGTTTTCCCGCCTTCCGCTGCGTCGACTGTGACATTATTCGAGCTCGATGAATCTGGCCCACAAGCAGAGAGCACGCCTCACAACGGTAAAGCTGCTCCCAAGCAACGACCTCCACCATTGCCGCTCCACCGTCCTTCAAGTTCGCGGAACCCCGCCGGTCGTCGTTCGAGTATTGTCTACATCACCTCGCCTCCCCCCTACATCCTCGTCTCAACCTGCAACGGCCCCATTTAGTGATGTTCTTGATGCTGAAGAGGAAAACGCGGCAACTGCTGTTCCATCAACCATCGCATCACTTGCGCAGTGGTCGTCGCGTGTTATCCGGAAACCAAGCTCGAAGCTCCAGCGCAAAATCTCGAATGCTGTCTATGGCAAGCCGGCGAGCCCTGGCTCACCCGGTTTGCGTCCGCTCGCGCTTTTGCAAGAGCGTGATACCAATGCGGTTGGAGGCAGGGAGACGCCGCCGCTTTCCCTGCGAAAGAAGACGAGAAAGATGGACGAGAACGAGGCGCCGAGTCCGATTGCCCCGGTTTTCGCCCGTGAACGGAGTCTGAGGGGGCTCCAACTAGCCCGAACGGTGAGCTAATTGAACATACCCTACTTTTTTTTTCTTCACTTGACCCTTCGCTTTGCTTGATGCTATTGCTGCTGTAACCTTGCTATCCCTTTTGCTCTCGTCATGCTATCGTTTTTTTTTTGCTCTCGCATTGCTATCGTCTCACTATCGCTGTTGAATTGCTATCTACGTACCTATCGCTATCATCTATGCTCTGAACTCTATGCTTTCCTCTCTCATTGTATCTCAACTACACGTATCATTGCACAAGCCAAGATATAAATTTTCTCAACAAAAAAGCATTAGTATCACTCAAGTGCAATGCCCTACGTGGGAATGTGAATGATACAACCTCATTAGAGGTTATTAACAGCCCCAATTCTAGCAATGATTTGAGCTCCACTTGTGAATTTTGGGAGAAAAGTGCCTGGTCATGGCAGGGAGAAGTGGTAACATTCTAAAAGATATAAGAAAAACAACTCTACCTTTCAGTTGATTGACGACAATTAAAGTTACAAGGTAAACCAGAATTTATAAACCCATTTTTTTTCTTGCTGCTGATAACCTCCATTAGCGCGGTGAAAACTTTTTAGAGGATAGGATAGATAGGACAGAGTTAAAGTAGGTGACTTCCCATAAGGAAAATTTAATCATTTTTGTTGAATAAACCCCGTTGCCAAGATGCCGGTGGTCCCATCAGGACCCCATCAGACTGAAATCTCCATTTGGGCTTGCAATAAACCCTCAAAAGTGCTTGAATTTATTCAGAGGGTCAGGACCCCCAAATAAACCATTTTCTTGCCTCCATTACAAAAACTTGCCATTTTGGGACAACAGTGCCTACACAGCCGTGATTCAAAAATGTTTAGGTGGAAAACGTTAGTGGGAAT